GTGTCGGGCATCGCTGGTCATGTGCCCAAGGGTGTGGTCGACTAGGATGCTGGACCACTGCTATTAGGCCGTGCCAATGGTGGAAGCAGATTGGACCAATTCTAGTCAATAGACCAGGCCAGAACAGTTCTGTATAAAATATATATTTATTATCATCAAAACTCAGAGATTAAACACAGATCTAAATCTTGGTTTTACAGAAGAATTTTAATCCTATTAATCACATGTTTACAAATCATTACTAGTTTAACTACAATACAATATCGGTCACATGTTTACAAATCATTACTAGTTTAACTACAGTTCAACATCTGTACTTTTTATTCTTTTGTTAACCAATGCAGAATTTTATACTCGTTTACAAACATATAGAAGAATTTTAATCCTCTTAGTCACATGTTTACAAATCATTACTACTTTAACTACAGTTCAGCATTAATACTTTTTATTCAGCATTAGTACTTTTTATTCCTTTGTTAACCAATGCAAATTTTAAGCTAGTTTGCAAACATATAGCAGAATTTTAATCCTCTTAGTCACATGTTTACAAATCATTACTAATTTTAATCCTACAATCACCTACAGTACCTAACCTATGTTTAATAGTGCACTCTTAAAGTTATTAACTAACATTACACATCACAGGTTTTAACGGCATCAATTCCTAAAGAAGTGAAGCAAATTGAGTCCTTGCTGACCAACTTCAACTATAGCCAAAATAACTTAAGCGCTACATTCAACTAATGTTTGTCCATATGCATTGAAGAACTGGGACAATGAATATGTACAATTGCTAAAATGAAAGAAATTTGAATAACTAAAGAATCTAACTATAGCTAAAATGAAATTAATAGTAATTGAGTAAAACTAAGAACAGTTGTAAAAAGTATGATTTGGGTATTATTAAGTCATATATAATAGATGACACATGATTTTGTCTAAACAAAACTAACTTAACTTTCTTATAACTTTCTAAACAAACCTTTAAAGTATTCAGAAAACTGAATATCACATATATAAAAATTAGAAACATGCTCGGTAAAGTTTGTTGACAAAATTACGGTGTCGATCAGCATCACAAACTATGGTGCCGTTTAAAAACTACGGTGCCAGCATCACAAAATTTAATTGGAAGAAGGATTTTAATTTGTTACCAGTAAGCAAATAATCTAGAGCTAGAGCTTCAGAATCACAAACTATCACAATTGCTTCCTCAACATAGCCAGTAACACAAAACCAAAGATTAGATTCATTGACAACAATCACAGGGCATAAGAGGGCGGTTTTCAATGAACCGTCGCGATCTATATGTCGTGAAATGGTATTTTTCTTGTAGTGTATGGTTAAATAATTAATCAAAAAGAATTTTAAAAGTCAGATTTTAATCATCATTAAAGCTCTTGTTAAGTCTCAAATTTCAACAAAACTTAAATTTAATCATAAGCATGTATGTTCTACGAAACTTAAATTTAAGAGTAGGGGATAAAGAGTTGACACCATGATTTATAGTGGTTTGACGCTTTCGTCCTTGCGTGAGTCTACATCCACTTCTTTCAATAGTTTCCTTTTTATTTTGATAAATATCTCAAGAGTATATACAATCACCAACCCACAATAATGCTGAAGAAAAATAACAAATAAAATCTTCAATTTGGATCTTGACTTGTATATTGATCAACGCCACACTCTTCTGCGCAATCTTTACTCGATCAACATTTTGGATCTTCCAATATCACCAGTTTACTTCAAGCTTTCGTGTGTGACAATCAACCCCTTGCTCCTACCAATTCTTGAGCGCTGAATTGTCTGAAGATGTAAAAAAAATCTCCTCCTTATTTCTAGCCTTTCACACAGTCTCTACTAAGAAATTTATGGAGAGAATACATTCTTCTTTTCACTGGATTTTTCAACACCATTGACAATAGTCCCAATTTTGCAAGAACCTGGAAATATTTTACCCAATCTTCAAAAACAATTTAGTTTCAAGACAAAGCCTCCCTCAATCAATTATCAATCACTCATGATCAAGATATAAAATTAAAATTGAGGTTGAAGACGAAAGAATTTATAATGCAAGGGTTTCAAAAGAGGATGCTTATTTTTCACAGAAATTCACACATGAATATGAAGTTCATATATGATTCTCTAGTTTCAAAAGTGTTTGCAAAAGATTTTATATGTGCTTGAGATTAAACAAAAAAAGTATAAAAAAGGGTGGTTATATTCTAATCAAAGAAAGTTCATTTTTGACTCAAGTGAGCAAGTCAAGTGCAATAAATGAAAATAAGATTTTGGCCCATTTATCAGTTGATTCGAATCAAACACAAAATGTGATTTGAATCATGGACACCGTGATTTGAGTCTTATTCAAAATTTGATTTCAATCAAATCAAACAAGGAATCCTGAAAAGTGCATAAAAAGTATGTGATTCGAATAATGTTGTAATTTTGATTTGAATCAAACTGAGCAGAAGGTCACGTGTAGAGTGTGATTCAAATCATGTTGAGAAAGCTATTTGAATTAAATATTTACAAAGTTCCTGGTATGTTTCTGTCTGAATTGATTTGAATCATAGAATGTGTGATCCTCATGATTTGAATCAAACATGTAACATCATGATTTTTCATGTTTTCAAAAGCCTTTGAGATTTTACATTACACTTTCTTCAAATCAAAAACATATAATACTCTTATTCCACCAACTCATGAAAATGACTAAAAACCTATGATCAAGTTCGAATATAATCAATAATTTATGCATGCTAAAAAGATTTATGAATCAATTTAAAACTTGATTCAATGTGTGAAATTTATGAGGGAGACTTAATAAATGAAAGTAAACCAAAACGATAAGACCAACAACAAAATAACTGCATTTGGGGTGCTCCCCCTAAGTGTGTTAGGGACACGCAACAATCTCTCCCTAGGAATATACAGCTACAATTTCCAGTATTATCACAGTGTGATGTATAACGGAACATATTCAAGAAGACGTGAACTTTAACCATATTAGGAAGGAGTTAAAGAGTTTATCACATTTGTATTTGGTCAAGAATGTTATTGAATCAAAGGGAGAGTAAGATGTGCATGTCTTAAATATGGGTGTAGATCTATAGTTAGTGATCTAAATGAAGTAGAACATCATTTGAAGAGAAAGGGTTTTACAAAAATTTACTGGGTTTAGATATTAAAGAGACAAGAACTGTGGAATAATGTACTAGAGACTACTAATACACATGCTTTAAATAGTTTATCACATATGGAATATGAAAAACAATTTAATATATTTGATGACATGGTTGGTGATGTTTTTGGGGTGAACGTTACTTATGACGAATTTTAAGATTTTGATGGAGAAGAGCTGTCGAATGAGAAAACACAAATTTTTTATCAGTTGTTGAAAGAAATAAATACATCATTGTTTGAGTGTTTATCAGACTCTAAATTATCAATGTGTGTGAGTTTATTGGTCACAAAGTCAAATTGGAATATTCCTGATTAGTGTTTAGAATTATTTGCAAAAAAATATGTTGGACTCGAATCCTACGAATGACAACTTGCCTACAAGTTTTTATGATGCAAAGAAGTTGGTGTCAAAGTTGAGTTTAGAAGTAAGAAAGATTGATTGTTGTATTAAAGATTGCGTGTTGGTTTATGCAATGAGTGGATGAATACAAATGATGGAGCATTGGAGGAATGTAAGTTTTGTAACAATTCAAGTTATCTAGTTCGCACCAATGCCATTGATTATAAGCAAAAATGTGTCACACTGAAGTCCATGTTTTATCTGCCGATAATATCAAAGTTGTGGAGAATATTTACTTTAATGCATAGTGCTAGATAAATGACATCGCCACGATGCGACATTCATCTGATGGTGAGGCATGAAAGCACTTTGTTCAAATACATCCTGAATTTGCTGTAGAATCTAGAAATTTCAGATTCAGAGAATAGACACATGATATATCATAGAAACGAAACTTTAGTATGTCAACTGCCTTGATGTGGACTATTAACAACTTTTTTACATATGTCATGTTGTCTGGTTAGACTACGCATGATAAACTAAATTGTCTCACTTGAATGAATTACACAAAAGCATTTACATTGTAAAAAGAAGCAAAAATGATTTGACTATTACCGTAGCTTCCTACAAGAAAATCATGTTTGTAGAAGAAACAAAAATGCTTTTAAAAAAAAAGGTGAAGAAGTAACATTCTTTTTTTCTGCACATAATTCTACAAAAGCATGTGCAACAAAAGAAGAGCCCTTTTGTAAAAAGAAAAAAATTCTAATTTTGTTGTGCGTGTTTTTTAAAATTACATATAAAAAAAAGAGATCGCTCTTTTAAAAAAATGCTATAAATTCTATAAAATAATTCAAATCAATATTAACAACGATTATAATAAATAGTTCTATTTTTTACCTTTCATATTTGACTATGATTGTTTTTATTTAAAGTGTATTTAAAGGACACTCTAAAAATCTTAATTTGGCATGGTATATCTTAAAGATCGAAATGGAAGCAAAATAATGCAAGGAAAGTGCAGAGAAATCATGCACTGATGGGTAATCAACATTATGCTAAACATCAAGCTTCTGAGTATATTATATTGGAAAAACTTTATATAGAGTCAATCTAACAGCAATAACCATAAGCTTACTAACTCTAACTAGTCAACAACCTGTAACTGGTATAACAAACTAATGATCTTGGATTCAAGTGGAGCTTGTGCATCATAGCATAACTTGTGTAGCAAGGCCAACTAGAGATGTATCAAGAGGTAGTTGTGAGCTGCTATATTGATCTTCATTTTAACATCTAATGTTTGTATAGCATGTTTAATTTATTCATTTACAATTTCATGATAAAAAAATATACATACTAGGAACACCATGTTTTTAGACAATTTTCTTTTTTTTTTTGTTTAAAAACACACATGATAGAAAAAGAAAACAAATGATGACATCAAAATGACAAATGTTACAAATTGCATGTCTCAACTTTGGTGTTTTGATTGTAGCTCTATGATATCTTGAATAAGCAAAGTCATATTAAGATAAGAAGATCCACCTTTTTCAACAGCTTTCTTAGCAATCTCACTTAATTCACTAGCCCTTTCTCTTCTCTCTTTACTTTCTTGATCTCCCTCATCCATCACCCTACATATTGCTTCCTTAATACCTTCCTTCTTCACAATCACACCTAACTTCTCCTCTTCACCAAACTGCATTACAACGTTAACACCAAGACTCACTCCAATCTTCAAAACTTGAGTAACAAGCTTCTCATTCAAAAACTGGTCAGCAAATAATGGCCAAGTTACCATTGGCACACCAAAACTTATCCCTTCAAGTGTTGAATTCCAACCACAATGTGTTAAGAATCCACCAATAGAGGAGTGTGATAATATCACCATCTGTGGGGCCCACCCTCTTATTAAGAGGCATCTCCCTTGGTTTCTTTCCTCAAACTTTTCATCACTTATCCACTTTTCCAACTCTTGAGTTTTATTAACTCCATCCCTAATAACCCAAATAAATGGCATTTTTGTTGCTTCTAATCCCAAAGCCAATTGAATAAGTTGTGAAGAAACTAAGTTACATAAACTTCCAAGGCATACATAAACAACAGATTTTGGTTTATGCAAATCTAGAAACTTTAGACAGTTATATTCACTTATTGAAGTTATGTTACCTCTTTCAGCCTTATCTATACCATCTTTGTTGCAAAGTGAAACAGGACCAACACACCAAACCTTATCATTTCTTTCCTTTTTGTAATCATTCACGTATTCTTTCTCTAATTCTTCAAAAGTGTTTATGATTTCACCATATGATTTCATTTCAGCTTCTTGGAATTTCTCAACAAACTCCTTCGGTAGTTTCTCTAATAATGCTACTGGTATTTTCCCTTTGGTGACTTGAATTTGGTCCGGTATGCCTGGAATAGAGAAATACTCTGTTTCTGAATTGATGCTTTCCAGAATCTTTGAAGAACTCACCTTGAACAAAACCTGGAGACAGAAACAAGAATAACCATGGAATGAAATTCTTGGAATTTGATGTTTTTCAGCTATTTGAGAAGTCCAAGGTATACAAAAATCAGAGATAATACAACTTGGTCTTGGTGACAATTTATCAAACAGTTCCTGTGCCGGTTTTTGGAGCAACGAAACTGCGTAGAAAAAATTATTCCACACATCATTTGAAATATCAACCATGTCCAAATTCTCGCATCCGTCTGGTAATCCAGCTTGTTTAGTAGGCAAATTGAGTGTTAGAAGATTGAGTTGAAGGCCAGAGGAAAGAGCACGAGAAAGAACAGAAGAAAAACGTGAAGCATTTTTGGGAGTGGTGAAAATGGTAACAATGACACCATGTTGTGCTAAGAGTTTAGCTATGTCTATCATTGGGATAATGTGTCCTTGTGCTACGAAAGGAAATAAAACAAAGTGTGGAACATTAACCATGGTTTAGAAAATGAATCAGTGGCGTATGTATTTTGAGTTTAAACTTGAATTAAAGTGAGTTTCAATTATATAGACATATGAAGTATGATTATGAACCCGTGACACAGATGTACAAGAAACAGTTATAAGTAACACGATATATGATAGGTTGTGGAAGGTTTGTATAATTGGTGACGTAATAGCATATGCAATGAATATTGGATTATACGAAGAATAGTGCATGTATGGGGCTACAATCAATGTGGATCTGTAGTATGTTTTGTGTTTGCCACAAATTCTTTGCTCGCATGCAAACAAAATATGAGAGGAAAGTGACGTGACGATTCAATTTTTTGTTTTCCAAAAGTCCACTCTTGTACTCTTTGACAAATATAATGGTATCCATTTAGGAGTCCCAATAAAACTAACTTGGATAACACCTTCATCGTCACCATTCTCACTATCTTTCTTCGAAGATGGCTAACAAAGCTTCGTACTCCGTAATTAATACCATAGTTAGAAGTTTCGCCTACGAAGGAAATTCTAACTCTTCTCGGAGCAAATACGCTAGATAGGTGGTGACCACAAACGTAATATCCCTCAGATTCTCTAAAGTCCGTCAGGAAGAACTAATGGCCAACATTACCTTTTTTAGCAGTAATGTCGTCGAAATCCTCCCTCCCGATAACGACCACATGGGCATCACTATGCAACACACAACTAGGATATCAAGATAGTCTAGATAGACGCTGAGAGTTTGGCTGACATCCTATTCTAGAATACTTTCCAGAAATTGCATCTCGACCCTAACAACATCAAAGCGTTATGGGTTTGTTACTTGGATTGTCAAGCAAACAGGTGAAAGTCAGGGGTCACGTAACCCTAGAAACGACTTGCAGCGTTGAATCAGACACCAAGGCGATTAAAGTTAACAGCCTCTTAATGGACGCTTTGTCGCCAAATAACACCTTCTTGGGACGACCTACCATCAATGCGTTAGGGGTGATTATTTCCACCCTGTACCTAGTCCTGAAATACCATATACCTAGTGGGAGAGTCAAGACAATTCGAGGAGACTAACAAAGCATCCAAGAATGTTAATGTAGCGGTCATGGGAAAAGAAGAGCTCTCCCTTGAGGCGCTCCTCCCTAAAGCTTTGAAGCCAGACATTGACATTTAGGTTCCCAGGCTAGGCGTGGACAGTGATCAGCTCACGCACATGGAGGACCTAAAGAAGGTCAAGATAGGTCATTCAACCCACTAGGTGACAAAGATAGGCACCTCACTTACCAAGGAAAAAGAACACGAGTTAGTCGACCCACTCATACAAAATATTGACTTTTTTCGTTTAGTCCCTCTAACTTGTCGGAAATAGACACCATAGTGGTGTGTCATTGCATCATCGTGAACCTTTATGCCAAGCCAATGGCACAACGAAAGCCATGAAAATTGGCAAGGAGAAGAGAGCCTCCATTAGTGAAGAATTACGCAAGTTACCAAGTGTCGGTTTCATCGGAAAGACAAAATTCCAAAATGCTTAACAAATGTGGTACTGGTAAGGAAGGAGGCAAACAAGTGGCACATGTGCGTTGATTTCACCGACATTAATACATCATTCCCTAATGACCCATATCCCCTACCGAATATTGATCGATTGATTAATGGGTCCTTTGGCTTTCAAATGTTGAGCTTTCTGGATTCCTACACAGGGTACAACCATATTAAAATGGACCCCATGGATGCTACCAAGATGGTGTTCATGTCAAATCACTACTACAAAACGCATAAACAACAACGCCCAAGTCACCACGTTTCTTTCAAACACCGTGGTGACATCTCTAAAATCAGATGCTAACATTTTTTTTAATTAAATTTTTTTAGGATATAATAACAGTTGATGGTCGGACCGTGGTGATCCATTCGAACTTCCATGGGTTCCAACCACAATGCCCTCAAAATTTTTATTCCTTTAACGTTAAGGTGCACCTTTTCATTTTATTTATTTTTAACAAAGAAAAAAAGATATCACAACGGTTGTTATGTCCAACCGTTGTAATCTATTTTGTCTTTGAAAGCTATTCCACCACGATTCGTCTTGTCAACCGTGAGGAAATGTGATATATATATATATATATATATATATATATATATATATATATATATATATATATATATATATATATATATATATATATATATATATATATATATATATATATATATATATATATATATATATATATATATATATATATATATATATATATATATATATATATATATATATATATATATATATATAAACGTCACCATTTCTTATCAGTTGTTTCTCTCTAAAGAAAACCCTAACATATCATCTCTCTAAAGGATTCTCTGAAACTGCAGAGAAAAAGCATCATTTCTCTTGCAACAAGCAGACAAAAGTGGATGTCCCAAATGTTGCCATAGATGAAAATCACTTGTTTTTGCAGTCTCACTTTCTGCAACCTCACTTTCAAGCACAACTATAAAAAGGAGCAACGTCTGAAGCAAACTCCGACGGCGGAGAATATGGTATGTTCTAATGCTCTCTCTTTCAATTTCTCCATTGATAGTTAAAAGTTAGAATTTATGGGTTTAGGGTTTTAGGGTTTTGTTGATATATGTGGTTGTATTGTGATGATGCTCATGATTGAACTTTGTTGTGTTTCGTTGCAGATTATGGTGTTGGATGGTTAAGGGGATGATAGCAAGTATATAGTTTGATGAAGAACATATGGTTTGTGTTGAAATAGAAAAAAATACAAGAAGTATGAAGTTATTATGGAAAATTCATCCACCTTGTATTTCTTCTTCATTGCATCACAAACTAGATTAACTTCATAATTTGTTATAGTTCCATGATTATTTTCAATAAAAGGTGCATTATTGAAACAATTTAATATAACTTGTGATGTTGTATGCTTTTGTGTTTTTATCTTGTTGCATGTATTTGTTTTGTTGTTGTATGTTGTTGTTGACAAATATTCTCAAAACAAGAACATAACATTGCTAAGTCACAAGAAAGAGGCTTCTTGTGACTTAGCAATGTTTTGTTTTTTAAATTCTTATACAGGTTGATAGTAGATGAAGTTTAGTTTATTATATGCTATGTAGATTTTTTGTTTCACTGAACTTTTAATGAAAATACATTCAATTAAATTGACATAGAAACTTATAACTTGAAAATTAAGATGTCTAGTTGAAAACTATTTCAACATTTCTTAGAAAAGATACTACCCTTGTCTAGTTGCCTGGGAAACTAATAACACTTACTTTACACTTGTTTTTTACTCTAATTTCACATGTTATTTAGTTTTTTTATTATTGTTTTCTCATATTATGCCTATCTTTTGTTTCCTTTTCAGGTATTTCAATTATCCAGAGCTCCCCTGAAGAAATGAAGGAAAACAGGCTGAAAAACAGGAGTTTAGGTCAAATTTGTACTCATGGCGTCCATCATGGCGCCAACCATAGGGTAGACCATGACATGGACCACCTCCTGCTGACCTCAACTGCCACGTTCACCACTCCCTTTCATTTACACTCATGGCGGGCGCCACCTTAGGACGATGTTTTCCCCCCCAAAAGGAGTTGAGGGGCATTCCTGTGATTTCCTTCATTCTTCATCCTCTATAAATAGAAGTTCCTGATTTCATTTCAATTCACCCAAGTTTAGTTGCAAACTTGATCCAACCATAGTTGCGAACTTAAGCCATATAATTTCACTATTGTAAAGCGATGATTCTTCACATCGAGGAATTATTTCACTGTTGATTGAGTATGTGATCGAGTTCGTAGATTGAGTCTGTAATCGTGTTTGGAGCACTTCGGCAGAATTTTATCCTACCACATTTATTTTTAACTATTGTTTATTTCCAGTCGCATTTTACTTCCAGTTTGTACCAGATTTAAAACCTCCCCGTTTGGAGCAGGTTTCTATTTATATTTCCCGCACCTGCTTTTACTTTGTTTATTTCCCGCACCTGCTTTTACTTTGTCTATTTTCCGCACTGCTTTTATTTTTCTTATTTCCCGCACCTGCTTTTACTTTGTCTATTTTCTGCACTGCTTTTACTTTGTTTATTTCCCGCACCTGCTTTTACTTTGTTTATTTTTTGCACTGCTTTTACTTTGTTTATTTCCCGCGCCGCACTTTAAATTATATACTTTCTCGCATGATTTATTTTAACATGTCTGTTTACATTTCCATGTCAGGCTGAACCTTACTGGGCTAGAATGTAAGGAATCTAGTAAGATCGATATTCTAAATAATGTGTCAATAGAAATGCTTATGGGCTATTTTGGTTTTTAATACTAGTTTTCTGTACTTTATTGTTGTTGGGTAAGATCAAAAGTCGTCCAACCCTTTGTTAAACTCGGTTAGTTAGGGATTTTTATTATCAAAGAAATCAATTTTGAAACTATTTTCGGACGTGTTTATAGGGTTAAAGTTAGGTCCCCTTTTTATTAGAAATTCCAGATCAAAATACTTTTCAACTTGGTCAAGTACTTTATTTCTTAAAAATAGGTTTATTACTTTAACGTAATTCACGCCCTTTTATAAGTGACGATAAGAAGGTCTGATTAGAGAGTAAACTCGGTTCTGATTACGCAAAAGTGACAATTCCTATTAAATTAGTTCTTTTCTTTAGTAGAAAATATTTCCCTATAAGTAGTTCTATTCTGAAGCATTGCGAATATCATCTGACTATGTGAATTACATTTGACCCTGCTTTTATATCTGAAGTTTATTTCGTCGCACTTTACTTTCTTGCATGCTCAATTCCCTGTTTAATATTGACTTAGCAAAACACCGTAACAATAGGAAACGATAGATTGACGATTGGTCTCTGTGGATCGATAATATGTTATATTACTCTGACGCTATTAGTACACTTGAGAATACACCGCATCAAGTTTTTGGCGCTGTTTTCGCGGATCAATTTCGTCAAATTTTGCACCCTATAGTCGCACCGTCTAGACTAAGTTTTACAGTCCGG